CCCCAAAACCCCAAAACCCCAAAACCCCAAAACCCCTACTTAACAACAATTTAAATTCATAAATTTTTACAAATGGAGACAAAGAGTAAAGGAATCATAGGGTTTATCCTTCTTGGATCTTTTCATATCTATTTCACCATTCTCTTCTTAATCTTGGTAAGTATCCTCCTAAAGCTCAGCATAACTCTCTTATGAGAAGTATTCATGATATAAGTCTACTTCTCAACGAAAGCCTGATTCAAATTTGATGAAAGTAAAAATGATTTATTACTAAATTATGAGATAGATCTTAACTATATTTTAGCCATTTGTTGAAGATAAAAGAGACATGGCCGACCCAACCAGAGGGTGGTACATACACGACTTTTTCCCAAGTGAAGATTTTGCAGCTCAAGTATTCATCTCAATAGGAATCACCATTGCCTCGATTTGAATGGTTTTCATTGGTATTTCTCTTCGATAAGTGAGGGAGCTCCATGAAAGTAATTCAACTTAAAAATTTCTAAGGATATATATAAATGTTGGGATAATGTGCTACAAGACTTATAGTATAAAATCTTAAGGAAATTCAGTATTTTAAGCAAATCTAATTTTTAAAGTGAATTACTGCTGTAAATTTTCAGACTTTATAATTGTGTTAGGTAATTGGGCTAAATCTACCAAAGATCTTAAAAACACAGTTACCAGCCCCTCTTCTGGATTTGGTTGCTTGCACTTTGTCAGAAACCGTCCCATTCTTTCTTAGTAAAGCCAAGATCAACGATATGGCCTACATCTCTAAATTTTCCGTGAGGCCGAATTTTTATGTTAAAGCCTGGAAAATCAGAGGATTTTATTGGAAATTTTTGTAAAATTTTGGCGGCCAGGGAAGATCCCTCTGGAGGTTGGGAAGCAAAAGTTGAGAATGAAAGATGAGGGTCCTGAGGGGTTTTAGTTGAAGAAGAAGGGAGAATTGGCGTGCTTAGCCCAGATTGAGAAGGAGGTAAGGCTAAGTTTAAGGCACCTGGATTAGATCCAGGGAGATGGATATTTTGATCGTATAGTTCACGCTCTTTAGCAAGCTTTGGGGTGTGTAGGAGACCCATAAATTGATGTTCTAAAGGAATTATTCCAGGGCCATGTGAGTGTTCCATCTGTGCAGTATTTATTTTCCATCCATGGATATTCACAAATGCAAATCATTTAGATCACAAAGAATCATCATATTCAGCTATAAGTTTCTTTCTCCTCCGGCTTCCTCTTTCTCACACTAACTTATATCTCCCTTTAGAAACTTCGCTTTTCTCAACCACCATAATAAACCCAAATTCTCTAATTTTGAGTAATCATTCATTTAACTTATCTTTCCCACCCAAATTCCTGCCACTATAGAATATATCAGAGGGATCTCTAGGAGGCTCTACCCTATGAGAACTTATGTCATTTACATCTCCATCATCATAATCTCCTTCATCTAGGCAATCATCAGAATACGATAAAGGCTTTTCAGAAGGGAAGGTTTGATTTGAAAAGTTTGATATATCTTTAATGACATTAGAGTCACCATACTTTGATATCACAACGTCATCTCCTTGACTGATCTCCTTCCTCATCCCTAATCAAAGATCTTTTTGAGAAATATCTTGAAAAGAAGGCATCTCAGTCTTGATTAAATCTAGTGAGGGAAGAAATATCTTTGACTTTTCATTTTTCTCTGAATCACTATCGTTAAAGGAAGGTAGAATTACTCCTTGCTCTTCTTTTGGACAGCTATTAGTGACTAACGACATTTTAAACTTTCTTCTCTCTTTCTTGAAGCTTCTTCTTTTCAGCAGAAGTGACCACATTCGGTTCTTTATCAAATACCTCTGCGTATGTTTCTCTTGGAAGCCTGGGGTTTCTATATCTTTTACCTGGAGCATCTATTTCTTGATCTGACTCTGAATCTCTGTAATCAGCTCATCTATCAAGCATTTCAAGAACGTTTTCTCCAATTTTGTGCATCTTTTTGGGCGTCTTGAATAGAACACTTAAATGTTAAGATCAGAAATCTTTTTGAACAGGGATAATAAAATTTATTTTAATACAATACAACTTAGATTCACACTCCAGGGGTTTTGGGGTTTTGGGGTTTTGGGGTTTTGGGG